AGGCCGTGGGGGGGGGCCTCCTCGGAAGTCCCGGGGGTGCCCTGGGCCAGGGGGCACTTTTGGCTGCACGCGATGGCCCAGGATGGCTCTTGCGTTCCCCGAGGCACGACGCTGCGAAAAGGTTGCAGCACGGCCGGAGCCCTGGGCCATATCATGTTGCGGTGGCATTTTTTCGAGTCGGGTCGATATGTGAGGGCCCCGAGGCCCGATACAGCGACCGCGCACGCCCGCCTTGCATACATAAGCTTGCCTGGGCTTCCCAGAGTCTTGACAAGGCAAAGGGAGCCTAGGTTTAACCAACTCTCTATCATCCCTCATCCCCTGCTTCGTTCCTCCTTCCTCCCTCACTCCCTACGTTTTGCCTCCTCCACCTCCTTCCCTTTCCAACGCTCGTCGGAGGGCTAATTCAAGGAAGTGGCCTGCTCTCGAGTCGCAGCTGCGCGGCTAGGCGCGGGAGGGACTTCGGACGCTCTCTGCTCTTCTTTTCGCCCTCTTGTCCGCTCTTCGTCTCGTTCTCTTGGCTGCCCTTCTCTCTTTGGATCAGTGTTCTCCACCTCCTCCTCCCACTCTCCCTCCTCCTCTCCCTCCTCCTCCTCCTCCTCCTCCTCCTCCTCCTCTTCCTCCTCCTCCTCCTCCTCCTCCTCCTCCTCCTCCTCCTCCTCCTCCTCCTCCTCCTCCATTCCCTTTCCTTCTAAATAACTTCTCCCTGTCGCACCCCGAGGCCAGTTTGCATGGCGGGCCGGGCATTTCGCCTGAGTTTCCTCACCACTTCCGGCATTGAAATTTCAAATTGGCAACAGCTTCACAGATGGAGGGCGGGTGGTTTTCAAACTGTGGCTCTCGCCTTAGCGCCGCGCACATTCGTTTCAAAGTTTGCAAGAGCTTCACGGATTGAGGATAACCCGTGTTCAAAATGTGGTTCTCGCCTTAGCGCCGCGCACATTCGTCGTAAAAATGTGCAAGCATTTCACGGATTGAGGGTGGTTCTTTTTCAAAAGATAATTCTCGCTTTAGCGCCGCGCACATTCTTTCTGTAAATTGCAAGAGTTTCACGGAGTCCCACGATCAACGTACCAGAAATGGTGTTTTGGAAAGGTTCAGGATTTTGCGGGCGCAACAGTAACGTTGATTCGCGGTGCTGGAATCCCAAGAATGGCGTTCTGGCACGATCCAGGATCGTCAAGACGCAACAGTCAGGTTGATCCATGGCGTTGGAATCCCGAGAACAATGTTTTGGCATGCTTCCGGATCTTCAATCGGTTATCTTCCAACGAGGCAGACCCCTCAATAGAAATGAACCGTTGTAGGGGTTTATGAATGGGGAGCTTGAAGGGAGGGTGTGTTCCAACATCGTTGATGGTTCTTGGGTTTACACTGGTCCTCCTCCTCTCCTTCCTCTTCCTCCTCCTCTTCCTCCTCGTCCTCCCTCCTCCTCCTCCTCCCACTCATCCTCCTCCTGCTGCTCCTCCTCCTCCTCCTCATCATCATCAGAATCATCATCATCATCATCATCATCATCATCGTCATCATCATCATCATCATCATCATCATCATCATCATCATCATCATCATCATCGTCATCGTCATCGTCATCGTCATCGTCATCCTCTTCCTCTTCCTCTTCCTCTTCCGCTTCCTCTTTCTCCTCCTCCTCCTTCTCCTCCTCGTCCTCCTCCTCCTCCTTCTCCTCCTCCTCCTCCTCCTCCTACTCTTCTTCCTCCTCCTCCTCCTCCTCCTCCTCCTCCGCCTCCTCCTCCTCCTCCTCCTCCTCCTCCTCCTCCTCCTCCTCCTCCTCCTCCTCCTCCTCCTCCCTACAGTAGGGAGGCGCCGAGGCAGCGGCGACGGAGACGGGCGGCGGCGGCGGCGGCCGCGGCCAGCGGCCAGCGGTCGCGGCCGCGGCCCACAGCAGCGTCCCCAGCCGCCTCGGCTCCCGCGTGCCCCGTCGCCGCGCCGGGGCAGGGAGGGCGCCTTGGGGAGACACCGGCTGCGCACCTGCACTGGAAGAGGAAAGTTGGAGCCAGCTGGGGGTCCGAGGTGGCCCAGCACAGGTTCTGGCCAGCAGGAAGGGCGGCGGGCTCGAGGTGCTGGATGATTCGAAAAGGTTTGTGTTTTCGCCTTTGTGGCCTCTGGGGCCGTTTTCGGGCCCCGGGACCGTCAAAAAAGAATATGAAGTGAAAAATTGCACCAGATGGACCCAGGGAGGGGCCCAGGACCGATTTTTTGCGGATTTGCTTCCGCCCCCCTCTCTTGATCAGGGGCCCCATCTAGTTCAGACCCCCCCCCCCGCTTCCACGAAGAAAGCATCGCACAAGTCGGTACTATCGACATGGGTACGGAAAGAATGGGTGCGAAGATTGACAGCATCTGCTGATAGTTTCGAAAAGGAGTCGCCGTCGGTGTCGCCGCTGACGTTGTCCATTCGAGACAGAAGACCCGCCTGCCCGACAGCGGCCGTTGTCGCTATGGGACAGGATTTGCTGTTGGCATCGTACCTAGATGTTCCGTACCAATTTCGAGCGTCCAGTGTAAACGTATGCCAGCTTGAAGTGCATCGTTGTCCCCACGGTCGCCGTCACCGTATCTCGGTGCCGACTTTAAGGACTTCCGCAGCGTCTGAGGGCGCATCCCTGAGATTGCCATCGTCTTGGGCTTGTGAATGTTAGGGGTCAGGATAAGCTCGAGAATGGTTGAACGTGCACTCCAGAAATTCACGCGGGCCTCCGAAATTTGATGTCTGTGTTTTTGTGGTTCTTCCTGTGCGCTGTGCCTGAAAGCAGTCCCGCGCCGAGTGCGGGACAGGGCAGTGTTCGGAGATTTCCAGAGGTGGTCTTGGCCCAGAGTGCCACCCAGCTTTTCGCGCCAGTTCTGGACGCCCAGAGTCCCTCCGGGCCCCGTGGGGGGTTCTCTGGAGACCATCTGAGCCGCGAGAGGGGCTAAAAGGATTGCCACTTGTCTCTGGCGCGACCTGCACAACTAGAGCTCTGAAGTAAAGCCCGCTCCGGTTTCAGAGAGGCTCCATGCTCCATGGGTCCCTCCATATCTCCTTGGGCACCCACGCGCAACAGAAGCTCACAAGGGGCCTCGATCCTTACCTGGGGCCTCTCTTGGCAAGACGCTTTCGACGCACCGCGCCAGTGCACCAGCAGTCCGTGCAGCCCTCTGCACTCCGCGGCTTCCCGCCCGACCAGCAGTGGCTCTCTTGCAGACCTCCACCGCCACCGCGCCCGGTAGCCAAGAGCACGGGCCGCGCACAAGTCGAGGGCCCAGGGCAAGCATTGCAAGTGCTTGGTGCGGCATGTGCAGCCGGCATCCTCCCAGGGGAGAGGAGGAGGAGGAGGAAGAGGAGGAGGAGGCTGGGCCAGAGGGGCGGGTGGGTGTCAGCCGGCTTCGCGTAAGAGTGGCCCGTCGGCGGAGGTGACCTTTGATGAGCGGCGTTCGTCAGGGGCAGCATTAGGAGGGGGTGCAGTCTCAGGAGGAGGTGCATCGACTCCACCACCATCGCCCAGTCATCGCCGACGGGGGCCTGATAGCCCACCCGGCCCAGGAAGGTGCAGTTTCGCTATCGGAAGCCTCATTATCGCCGATCTGTCGGCGATATATGATCCAGGGTCGAGGGCCCTTGGCCCCCCCCACCCCCCCAGATGGTATGGTCCCAGGATTCCTCGCCCCCCCCCCCAGATGGTATGGTCCAGACGACGACGACGAGACGACGACGACGACGACGACGACGACGACGACGCGACGACGACGACGACGACGACGACGACGGCGACGACGACGACGACGACTACGACGACGACGACGACGACGACGACGACGACGACGACGACGACGACAACGACGCTGCGGACGACGACGCCGTACGGACGACGACGACGATGACGACGACGACGACGACGACGACGACGACGACGACGACGACGACGACGACGACGACGACGACGACGACGACGACGACGACGACGACGACGACGACGACGACGACCTCTGAACCACCACAGCACCACACCACATCCACAGGGGGGGGAGGGGGGCACCGCAGCGCAGCACCACGCCACGCCCACCTCTGAACCACCACAGCACCACACCACATCCACAGGGGGGGGGGGGGAACCGCAGCGCAGCACCACGCCACGCCCACAGGGGGGGGCGGGGGGACCATCGCGCGGGGGGGGGGGGGCCCAATGGCATCAGCATTGGGGGGGGGGGGGGCCAAGCCCTGGCCCATATATCGTCGATTCCAGGTTGATGTTCCCCCCCCCCCCCTCCCCCCCCAGCCAGTCACCCCCCCCACAGTCCAGGCTAATAAGCAGGTCGACCCTGCCAGATCAAAGGTACCACATGTGTCCTGTGTCTCGCGACCCATGCCTTCTACATTCCTATGGCAATGCGGCCCTCGGAGGGGTCTCGTGTCCTCTCGCGTGTCCTCTCCCATCAAGCCCGACAGCATCGCCCCCCCCCCCTCGTTTCGGGGGGCCGCAGGGTGGGGGGGCCGGACCCGAGCCCCCTGGGCGGCCACTGCCGCATCGCACGCAGCGGCCAGCACGCCGCGCACCACGGGTCTGCCCTGGCCGGGGCCCTCTCCTGCGCGTAGCTCCGGGTCGGGGTCCCGGAGCAATGCCGCGGATACGGACGCTGAACACCAAGCCGCCGCCGGAGGGGTGGGACGACGTCGCCCCACAGCTCGAGGCGCGGAGGAGAGGGCAGGCGGGGAGGGTGCGGGGCCCCAGTCCCCGCGAGGCGGAGGGATCCCGAAGGGGAAGGGGACCCCGAGGTATATTCCGCCGTCCGTGGGCTCCCAGAAGTCGCCCCGTGCACGGGGGCCGTCGACAGACGGCGCAGGACGACGAAATGTGCTGGTCCCGGGGGGAGCATTGGGGGTCCAGGACCTTTTTTGTCCAGTCCAGCCTGGAAGGAATTCGCAGCACAGATGCGGGACGCGGTCAACGAGCCGCACGAGGGCAAGCGTCGCAACGAGGCCACGTGGCAGATCACCAGGAATGGTTGGCTTGAAAATCAGGTGTAGCACAAGGGGGGAGGGTGAGCTGGAGGACGGGCAAGAGTGTCCGCGGTTCGGTCACTTCAGCTGCGTCGTGGTCGTTCGCATTCGGCCGGTTGGCTTCGGCGTCATCGTTTTTTTTTTCCCAGCCGCTTCCGGTAAGTTCGGTTTCGGTCGGTTTCGATTTCGTTGTTGGTTCGGTCGGTGGTCGGTTGCGCTGCCGCAGTGGACGCGCTTTGGTGCATGGTAGGTATCACTGTGTCCCGCGCCCCCGGGGAGCCTCTGAGCCCCTGGCCACACGTGGGGCGCCTCTGGACGTCGAGTCCAACAGCAGGATTCACTACGAGCGCTCACGCTATGTGTACGAGCTGTTCTACAAGAAGAAGGCGATCTCGCGGGAGCTCTACGACTGGCTGCTCAGGGAGAAGCACGCCGACGCAATGCTTATCGCAAAGTGGAAGAAGCCCGGATTCGAGTATCTCTGTTCCTTGCAGGCGATCGATAACACGTAACAGTCGCTCGTCGCCGGAGTGACATCTGGTGCGGGCCCACTGGGGCCCTGCCACTGCTCAACGCTTGGGTTTGCGCGCCTTGCGCGCTTGGTTTTGCGACCCCCCTCCTCGCCACTCATCCCACCCACCCGCGCCACCATCGAGCCGCGCGCCAAAGGCCCCTCTTGTCTACTTACAGTGAGGACGCTGAAATAAGGACCTCTTCGAGCTCAGGAGGGTCTCTGGCTTCCAGGCCGTTTCATTTATCCAGGTCGGGGAACCCATCGAAGCCGAGGCTTGCGGGGGCCAGAAAAGCCCCGCCTTCCGAGCATCCCTTATGTTATCACGAGAACTGCAGGCCCACCCCCGCGCGCAGCCGAGGCGATCGACAAGCGGAACACGAACTTTGGCACCACCTCCATCTGCAGAGTCCCCCTCCACCTCCGCAAGCCCGGCGCGGACAAGCCCGCCGTCAACACCGGTTGCATCTCAGGGGCGGCAAAGAGGGGGGGGGATGTGGATCTCGTGGCGGGGGCCTCGATTACCTCCCCAGATGCCATGGCGCCGCTTCTTATTCCCATACGTCCCCGGCCCCCGCCTGGACCGCGCACATGCCGCCGGCCCAGGAGGCCTCCTTGCCTTCGAGGATCGAGGGAGTTGCCATCTCTTCCGTGGTGGAGGGCGGCGGAGACAGAGGACGAGGAGGACGAGGAGGAGGAGGATTTGCGGCCCCCCCTCCTGGCCCCCCCCCCCGCCTGGCCGCCCCCGAGCATCTCCTGCGCCTCGCAGGAGGCGGGCCGCTTGGGCGGCCCGATCTGGTGGGACTCGCCCCGGCCCGCCGACCTCGTCGGCTGGGCCAAGGCGGGGTGCCCGACGGCGGAGAAGGCGGGCAAGAAGCGCAAGGACCCCGCCCGGGGGGCCCGCGCAAGCTGGGGCGCCCGCGGAGGGCGCGAAAGTCGTCGTCGTCGTTTGTCGTCCGTCGTCCGTCGTCCGTAGTCGTCGTCGTCGTCGTCGTTTGTCGTCCGTCGTCCGTTGTCGTCGTCGATGTCGGCGTCGTCACCGTCGTCGTCGTCACCGTCACCGTCGTCGTCGTCACCGTCGTCGTGTATCCGTCGTTTGCCGTCCGTCGTCGTCGTCACCGTCGTCGTCGTCGTCACAATCGTTGTCGGCGTTTCGCCGTCGTCGTTCGTCGTCCGTCGTCGTCGGTCGCTGTCGTCTGTCGTCCATCCTCGCCGTCGTCCGTCGTCCGTCCCCATCACCATCGTCCGTCGTCCGTGGACCGTCGTCGTCCGTCGTCCGTCTTCTGTCGTCTTCGTCGTCCGCCGTCCGTCGTCCGTCGTCCTCTGTAGTCCGCTGTCATCGTCACCGTCGTCTTCGTCACTGTAGTCGTCGTTTGTTGTCCGTCGTCCGTCTTCGTCGTCGTTACCGTCATCGTCATCAGTCGTCCTTCGTCGTCCGTCGCCCGTCGCCGTCACCGTCGTCGTCGTCGTCGTCGTCGTCACCGTCGTTGTCGTCTTCACGTTGTCGTCGTCCGTCGTTCGTTGTTCTTTGTTCGTCGTCCGTCGCCGTCGTCCCTCGTCGTCGTCGTCACCGTCGTCGTCGTCGTCGTTGTCGTCGTCCGTCGTCCGTGGTTCATCTTCGTCGTCGTATTTGTCGTCCGTCGTCCGTTATCCGTTCCCCGTCGTCTGTCGTCGTCCGTCTTCCGTCGTCGTCATCGTCGTCATCACCCTCGTCGTCGTCACGGTCGTCGTCGTCGTCGTCATCGTCGTCACCGTTGTCCGTCTTCCGTCGTCGTCGCCGTCGTCGTGGTGGTTTGTCGTCCACCGTTCGTCGTCCGTCTGCAGTTAGTCAGTCGTCCGTCGTCGTCGTCCGTCGGCCGTCATCCGTCGTTCGTGGTCGCCGTCATCGTCGTTGTTGTCGGCATCGTCTTCGTCGTCCGTCGTCTTTCGTGCGTCGCCCGTCGTCGTCGTCACGGTTGTTGTCGTCTCCGTCGTCGTCGTAGTCGTCGCCCGTAATCCGTTGTCGTCGTCCGACGTCCGTCGTCGTCCGTCGTGCGTCGTCCTCACCGTCGTCGTCACCGTCGTCGTCGCCGGCGTCTTCGTCACGTCGACATCGTCCGTTGTTCGTTGTTCGCCGTCCGTCGTCCGTCGCCGTCGTCCGTCGTCGTCGTCGTTACCGTCGCCGTCGTCGTCGTCCATCTTCCGTCCGTCGTCCGTCGTCGGCGTCACCGTCGTCGACACCGCCGTTGCCGTCGTCACGTAGTCCGTCGTCCGTCGTTCGTCGCCGTCGTCCGTCGTCGTCGTCGTCATCGGTGTCGTCGTCGTCGTCGTCTTCGTGACCGTCGTCGTCCGTCGTCTGTCATCCGTCGTCGTCGTCCATCGCCCGTCGACCGTCGTCGTCGTCATGGTCGTCGTCCGTCATCCATCGTCGCCACCGTCGTCGTCACCGTCGTCGTCGTCACAGTCGTCACCGTCGTCATGTCGTCCGTCGCCCGTTTGTCGTCCATCGTCCAACATCCGTCGTCGTCGCCGTCAGTCGCCACCGACGTCGTCACCGTCGTCGTCGTCGTCACCGTCGTTGTCGTCGTCCCGTCGTCAGCGTCGTCGTCGTCGTCACCGTCGGCGTCGTCCGCCATCGTCGTCCTCGTCGTCTTCGTCCGTCGTCCGTCATAGTCGTCGTCCGTCGTCATCGTCGTTGTCGTCACCGTCGTCGTCACCGTCGTCGGTCGTCGTCGTCGTTTGTTCGTCGTCGTCACCGTCGTCGTCGTCGTCGTCTGCCGTCCGTCGTCCGTCGTCTGTCGTCCGTCGTCTGTTGTCGTCGTCTTCGTCGTCACCGTCGTCGTCATCGTCGTTACCGTCGTGCCACGTCGTCAGTCGTCTGTCGTCTGTCGTCCGTTGCCGTCGTCCGTCCGTCGTCGTCGTCGTCGCCTTCGTCGTCGTCACCGTCGTCGTCGTCCGTTGTTCGTCGTCGTCGTCGTCTGTAGTCCGTCGTCGTCGTCACCGTCATCGTTATTGTCGTCGTCGTCCGTTGTTCGTCTGTCGTCTGTCGTCCGTCGCCCGTCGTCCGCCCCAGAAGCCTCACGGGAAGCCCAGGGTCATTTGGAGTTGTCGTCCGTCGTCGCCGTCGTGGTCGTCCGTCGTCGATACCGTCGTCGTCGTCGTCACCGTCGTCGTCGTCGGCGTCACCATCGTCGTCCCCACCCTCGTCGTCGTCGCCCGTCGCCCGTCGTCCGTCGTCCGTCGTTCCTCGTCGTCATCGTGGTCGTCGTCCTCGTCGTCGCTGTCGTCGTCGTCACCGTTTTCCGTCGTCGGCACGTCGTCATCGTCCGTCGTCCGTTGATCGTCGTCCGTCATCCGTCGCCGTCTTCCGTCGCCGTCGTCGTCGTCGCCCGTCGTCCGTCGTCCGTCGTCCCCCGTCGTCGTCGTTGTCGTCGTCGTCGTCACCGTCGTCGTCGTCGCCGTCGTTGTCACCGTGGTCGTGGTCATCCGTCCGCCGTCCGTCGTCCGTCGTCGTCGTCACCGTCACCGGCGGCGCCAGGACGCCCCAGACGGCGAGGACGCGGAGCTCGAGGCGCGCGCCGCGCAGCTGCGCCGCACCGGCGGCTCCGCGGAGGCCGCGGCCCTGGAGGCCACGGCGGCCGCGCTGCGCGGCGAGGCGGCGGGCGACGGCGGCGAGCCGGCGGAGGTCCGGGGCACTGATCGGGGGGGAAATGCTGAAGGGGCCCCGGGACACACAAAAAAAAGATACACGCAAATAACAGGGATTCCCCCTATGTTCCCAGATCTTCTGGGTTGCTGTCTTCCCCCCCACTTCCCATATGTTCCCATATTTTCTGGGGAGTCGACGATTGACTGTGTCTGAGTGTTTTTTCCCTCCTGAAAATGCGGCAGGTTCGCGCCGCGTTGCCGCGGCGGTGATCCCAGTGGGCGGCGGGCGGGGGGAGGGGGAACTGTGAAGGAGAAGGCCTTGTCTCGGCAGGCGGCGGACTTCTCAGGAGCCCTCGCGCCTTCCGAGAAGGCTTTCTGCGTCTTTGGGGAAGGCTTCGGAGACTGCTCAGAAGCCCGGGGAATTGCCGAGCCTTCTGAGAAGGCCCGCCCCGGGCCGCTTACGCACGCGGTTTACGCGTGTGAGGGCGGCTTCACGCACGCGGTTTAGCGTGCGTGGGGGCGCCAGAAAATCCGTGTGACGGAGCTCTCGAGACGCTGGAAAGCTTCCCTGAAAAGCTCTGAATACTCTGGAAAGCCTTCCTGAAGAGCCCTGGGGGGCGCCGCGGACCCAGTGCGGGCGTGCAAGGTTGGACGCCGACAGTGGCCCAGAGTCGGCCGATAGCGAACGGCCTGCCCTGCTGGAGAGCCGTGGCCGTTCGAGGCTGAGCCATCCACGGAGAGGCGTCGGAGACCGACGCCGACGTCGTCGCGACGCGGACCTGCCGCACGAGACCGTTCTTTTTATATTTCGGCGAGCTCCTCCTCCTCCTCCTCCTCCTCCTCCTCCTCCTCCTCCTCCTCCTCCTCCTCCTCCTCCTCTAAGTTGGGTTCTCCGGTGGGGGAGGTGGCTCGAAGAAGAAGAAGAAGAACGCTGCATAAGCATAGATTTTCGACGGTCCGCGCGGATTGCTTGAATCTGCGCTGGATCCCCTGTCCTGGTGCGCGGAGCACGCCAGGAGCGGCGCCAGAGGCGCCGCCAGGGGAATCCAGCGCAAATCCCAGAAACCGCTGCGGACTGTCAAGAGTCGATGCTGATGCATGTTGTTCTTCTTCCAGTGACGGCCGATAGCCTGACCTTTCCGCTTTGGGCGGCACCACGTGCGCCCGCCCGCACCAGTCCTGCATACCCCTCCGGACCTGCGCAACCCACAAGGTCAGGTTATCGGGGGGGGCATGCGGGCCCGATGACCTGAGTTATCGTTGGGCCCTAAACGAAACAGTCTCTTATCCGAGCCCGGAAACCTCAAACCCAACAATGTTGCCATCTTTTGGGGGCACAGGATGAGGTCGGGAACTCTTGGTTAGTGTCGCGCCGCCAATTCTGGCCCACCACGCCTCGGCGCGACACGCTATGCACGTCCCGGTTCCCAAGCGTCAATGTCCCGAGCCTTTCCCAGCCTCCCGCATCGCGGAGCGGGTGACGCGCTATCCGCTTTCAGGGCATACCGTGTCGTTGGGGCCGCCGCCGCCGCGACACGCTCAGCAACAGATCCTGACCGCAGGCTCAGAGGGGGGAACGACAGGCCGGAGGCTCGAGGTCTCCAGGCGCTCTCGTCGGATCTCGGCGGCTTTCCGGCCTCGGGATGTTCTCCAGCAGCTGCGCCTCCTCGAGCGTGTCCTTGGGGCGCCTGGATCGTCCCGAGCGGCCGCCCGAGACCCGAGCAGTGACCCGAAAGCCAGGCGACGAGGATCGGGGATAGGCTCCAGGGGGGAACGCATCGACCCCCAAGCGCCCACTCCTCGCCGACGGGAGCCTGATGTCCCATCCCGCCCAGGAAGGAACGCCAGGTCTCGCTATCGAGAGCCCACCGCCGATGGATCGGCGGTGTGCCGCCGATTCTGGGCCGAGGATCCGCTCGCCCTGAGCCAGCCGCCCCCCTTGCCGTTCTCCCTCAGGAGGGCGCCGGCGGCACGGCGACACCCGTGCAAGAGGACGTCCCGCCATGAAGAAACCGGGCACCCAGACCTCCAGCGTAGCGCAAAACTCGGCACGGAAGGGTTTTGCTGTCTTCGGCTTCTGGAGGCCCTGGGCGGGCCCGTGGATTGCCAAACGGCTGTTCGGAAGGCGAAACTGGCCCTGGGGAAGGATTCGGGACTGCCGCGGACCCCGCATGGAAGACAGTAGCACATCGGATCCCTGGGTGCGCGCAAGAGCGGCCCCACGGTGGGCAGGTCTTCGGGGTCCTTCCGGGCGTCCTCGGGGTGGCCTCCGCCCGCTGCGCCCGGCCGAGAGCGCTCTGGGGGTGCTGGGGTCCTCCCGCACGGCCGCCAGAGGCTCTCCGAGTCGCTTCGCTCTGATTTCGGTGGTTCCCGGCGCTGTCCGCTTCGCTTCGGCTTTGCGCTCCGAGGTGGGCTCCGGTCTCTCAGCGGAGGCCGGCTGGCCTGCCGATCTCCACCGATCCGACTTCTCCCGCCGCGGCTGCCGATTTCCGCCGATGCGAGCTTCAGTTCGATCGCCGATCCGACTCGTCGCTTCGATGCTGGCCTCTCCTGGCTTCGGAGAAGGAGCCCCAGAGGCGCAGGACCCGTTGCCACCGGGGGGCCCGGTCCCGCATGAGCGTTTGGACTGTCGGAGGTCCGCGCGGGTCTCTTCCCAGACGCGATGGCGTCGTCGAAAAGCCAGGGCGGGAGGCTTCTGGCCATTTCCGGCCTCCAGGGGGGCCTTCGCAGGGCCTCAGGACCGTCAATTACCTTGGCGACGTACCCAGCCCCTGCGCAGTGCGGGGCATGATTAGCCTGGAAGACGTTATGCGGAGGTGATGACGTGACATGGGCGCATACACTTCTGCGAGCGGCATTCGTGAGACTCGCAGCCCCTAGGGATTGCGAGGTCCCGCTCAGATCTGCGTGGTGCCTCACTCCGCTGGACCCGCCACCAGCCTTCGAAAGTGGCGACGGTTTCGCAGACCGCAGCCCCCTAAGGACGGCGAGGTCCCGCTCAGATCTGCGCGGTGCTTCATTCCGCTGGACCCACCAGCAGCCCTCGAAAGTGGCGACAATGTCGCAGATCGCAGACCCCCAGGGACGGCGAGGTCCCGCTCAGGTCTGCGCGGTGCCTCACTTCGCTGGACCCACCAGCAGCCCTCGAAAGTGGCCACAGTGTCGCAGATCACCCCACCAGGGTCGCAGATCGCAACCCCCGAGGGACGGCGAGGTCCCGCTCAGGTCTGCGTGGTGCCTCGCTCCGCTGGACCCACCAGCAGCCTTCGAAAGTGGCGACAGTGTCGCAGATCGCAGCCCTCCAGGGACGGCGAGGTCCCGCTTAGGTCTGCGCGGTGCCTCATTCCGCTGGACCCACCAGCAGCACTCCAAAGTGGCGACAATGTCGCAGATCGCGGCCCCCCAGGGACGGCGAGGTCCCGCTCAGGTCTGAGCGGTGCCTCACTCCGCTTGACCCAATATCAGCCCTCGAAAGTAGCGGCAGTGTCGCAGATCACAGCCCCCCACGGACGGCGAGGTCCCGCTCAGGTCTGCGCGGAGTTTCGCGGTGCCATACTCCGCTGGACCCGCCACCAGCTTTCGAAAGTAGCGACGGTTTCGCAGATCGCAGCCCCCAAAGGACGGCGAGGTCCCGCTCAGATCTGCGCGGTGCTTCATTCCGCTGGACCCGCCAGCAGCCCTCGAAAGTGGCGACAAAGTCGCAGATCGCAGCCCCCCAAGGACGGCGAGGTCCCGCTCAGGGCTGCGCGGTGCCTCACTCCGCTGGACCCACCAGCAGCCCTCGAAAGTGGCGACAATGTCGCAGATCGCAGCGCCCCAGGGACGGTGAGGTCCCGCTCAGGTCTGCGCGGTGCCTCACTCCGCTGGACCCACCAGCAGCCCTCGAAAGTGGCCACAGTGTCGCAGATCGCAGCCCCCAGGTCCCGCTCAGGGCTGCGCGGTGCCTCACTCCGCTGGACCCACCAGCAGCCCTCGAAAGTGGCGACAATGTCGCAGATCGCAGCGCCCCAGGGACGGTGAGGTCCCGCTCAGGTCTGCGCGGTGCCTCACTCCGCTGGACCCACCAGCAGCCCTCGAAAGTGGCCACAGTGTCGCAGATCGCAGCCCCCAGGGTCGCAGATCGCAGCCCCCCATGTACGGCGAGGTCCCGCTCAGGTCTGCGCGGTGCTTCATTCCGCTGGACCCACCAGCAGCCTTCGAAAGTGGCGTCAGTGTCGCAGATAGCAGCCCCCCAAGGACGGCGAGGTCCCGCTCAGGGCTGCGCGGTGCCTCACTCCGCTGGACCCACCAGCAGCCCTCGAAAGTGGCGACAATGTCGCAGATCGCAGCCCCCAGGGTCGCAGATCGCAGCCCCCCATTGACGGCGAGGTCCCGCTCAGGGCTGTGCGGTGCTTCACTCCGCTTGACCCACCAGCAACCCTCGAGAGTGGCGACAGTGTCGCAGATCGCAGCCCCCCAGGGACGGCCAGGCCCGAGACAGGTACCGCAGGCAAATAGAGAGGGAGAGAGAGAGAGAGAGAACGAGAGAAAGAGAGCAAGAGAGAAAGAGAGAAACAGAGAGAAAAAGAGAGAGAGTGAGAAAGCGGCGAGAGGCAAGAGGCGGGAGGCGGGAGGAGGAGGAGGAGGTGCGACCGCAGTGCTCTATTCAAAACAAATACCCAAGCAAGGAGGGTTGGGAAAAAACGACTCTGGATGAAAAGCCAGTCCTGGGGAAAGGGTCGAGACATCCAGGGAACCCATATTGAAAAAATCAGGACGTCGCATGTCCGGGTTGGGAAGGCGTTGTTATTGCCTCCCCGCACCCCTTGGCGGCGCCTCCGGCGCCGGAGGGGTGCGTTGGGGAAGAGGGAAAGAGAAGGAGACCCAGCGCCGATCCAAGAGAAGTTTCCGCTGGCAGATCTGCGCAGACCTCTGAAAGTTGATGACTATGCATCCTTCTGTTCCTCTGGAGGAGGACGGTGACATCACAGGAGACGAGAAGTGAGCCGCTGTCGCGACACAGCGGATAGGCAAAAAAGTAAGGCACGTTGCGTTCGGCTTTCCTCCTTGGGGCTTCAAGGGTGGCGAGGCCGTGTCGAGCTGCTGCACCACGCAGAGAGCTTCAATGTATCATCGGGCAGGTCTGTCTTCTGCACTCTTTGGTGGGAAAGTCTTTGGGCCAGATGCATCGTGATAGTAATGGGTCCATGCGTGCCAAGGCGTCTTCCTCTTCTTTCTCCTCCTTCTCCTCATCCTCATCCTCCTCCTGCTCCTCCTCCTGCTCCTGCTCCTGCTCCTCCTCCTCCTCCTCCTCCTCCTCCTCCTCCTCCTCCTCCTCCTCCTCCTCCTCCTCCTCTCCTCCTCCTCCTCCTCCTCCTCCTCCTCCTCCTCCTCCTCCTCCTCCTCCTCTCCTCCTCCTCCTCCTCCTCCTCCTCCTCCTCCCCCTCCCCCTCCTCCTCCCCCTCCCACTCCTCCTCCTCCTCCACCTCCCTCCCTCCCTCCCTCCCTCCCTCCCTGCCGTACCCGCGCGATCGACGAGAACGGCGGGATATCATCTTGCAGGCTCTTGGGGCTTCCAGGGGCCTCCAGGGGCTTCCAGGGGCCTCCAGGGGCCTCCAGGGGCCTCCTGGGGCCTCCTGGGGGCTCCTGGGGGTTCCTGGGGCCTCCTGGGGCCTCCTGGAGAAACCTCCTGAGGAAACCTCCTGGGGAAACCTCCTGGGACCTCGTGGGGCCTCCCAAGCATCCTAGGACGTCCTGGAGCCTCCTGGGACATCATGGGGCCCCTGGGCCCGCTGTTCTCGCCCCTGGCTCCGCGGCGCTGGGCGTTGTAATACATTGGTTCTGAGCTGACGTCATTTCTTCGTTGATAAAGCGACGTCTGCGCAAAATTCCGTTGCCGGAGCTGGCGGGCCTGGTCCCGAACCGCCGTGTCTCGAGAGCGCGCCCCATTGCTAGACGGTATAGGGGCACACACACACACACACACGCAAACATACAGACACACACACACACACACACACACACACGCGCGCGCGCGCGCACGCACGCACGCACGCACGCACGCACGCGCACACACACACACACACAGACACACAGACACACACACACACGTACACACGTACACACGCACAGGCTGCATATATACATCTATGCACGTATATATATAAATATATATATATATATATATATATATATATATATATATATATATATTCCTATTATGATATATATGTTATGTGTGATGCATGCATGCATGCATGCATGCATGCATGTATGTATGTATGTATGTATGCATGTAATGTAATGTAGTGTAATGTAATGTAATGTAATATAATGTAATGTAATGTATGATGTATATACGTGTGTATGGGTGCATGTGCGTGGCGGCGGTATAGATCCGATTTACGTATACACAAAACGAACTGTTCATGTGGACATATAGAGGATATTTGGGATCGGCGTCTGCATACTCATATGTATGTGTGCATGTATGTACAGAACTGCACCACATGTACATATGTATACATGTATGGTTTCAACGCGTGCGTCAGTTTATGGAAATGCATGTGTATATGTATTAATGCATATATGTCCATGATTATGCATATATATATAAACACCGATCATATATCGTTATGCTTATACACACACGCATACGGAAGTACTTACAAATTTTTGAGATGGAGGAAACTGGAGAACCACCACGAAGCTCCAATGGCGCTGCCACGAAAACTTGTGTGTATGGAACGAGTTCGGCCCCTGGTTCCATCGCACAAATTCGCTGACCCCAGGCGCACGCGGCGGACGCAGGCGCGAGCAGTCGCCGCGCCGCCGCTTGGCTCGCGCGCGCCGCGGCGCGCCGCAGGCGATGTGGGCAGGCCCGGGCGACGTGGGCAGGCGACGTGGGCAGCCGCTGCCCGCCGCGGCCGCGCGCAGGTACCACAGGTTTGTGCGTGCCTGGGGCGCGCGCCCCGCGCTCGGGATTTGAGGGGGATTTGCTCTCGCGTCTGGGGGGGAAGAGGGTCCGTGCACAACTCGCGGAGGCCTTCCGCTGTGGGCCACCGCCCGCGAGTGCTGCATGTTAGCAAGACGGCCCCGCGTGCGCGCACCGCGGGGCGCGCGCGAGCGCGCGCGCGCAAGCGGAACCGGCTGCCACGCTAGCCAGCATTGCGCAAGATGGAGCTCGCCCGCGACTTTCGCCGTAGCTTCCCAGGGCGTTTCAGCGATGCGGCGGCGGCCGAGGCCGCGGCTCTATGCTCTCGGCATGGCTGCTGTTCTCTCACGCAGCTGCAGGGGCGCGGCGGCGAAACCGCCGGCTGGTGCGATCGGACTGGCACGAGCGAAGAGCGCCGTCGACTCGCGCGGGCGGCCGCGCTGGCCCGACCGCCCACGGGGCCGCCCCCTGGGCGCGACGCGGTGACCGGCATATCAAGACGCGTGAAGCGTTTTCTAGGCGAGCGGCGCGCGCGGGCGCGGGTCGGCGTCTTCGCCGCACAGGCAGTGTCGCATCGGTTCGCCTCGCCCGCGATTTACACCAGCGCGGAATAAAAGGTTGCTCGGCCGGCGCGCCCGCGGCGCGCGCGCGCGCGCCCGCCGGCGCGCAGGGGATGCCTCCGATATCGCGCGTGCGGCCAGCGCATTGGCGGAGCAAGGGTTCGAGACCCACCAGGATCTCGTCGGGGCGCAGCTGAGGTGCATCGCGGACCTGCATGTCCTGCCAGCACCCCTCCTGTCGGAGCTCAATCGCCTGTGCACCGCGGGACCCTCTTCCGCGCGTAGCTGGGATGCGCGGAGCCGTTCTCCAGAGCGCCTGACAGCGATAGCGCCTGCATTCGAAAGGGCGATGGCGCGGCCAGGACCGCCCTCGCCACCCGTGCCAGGGGGGCCGCGTCGCAACGCGCAGTGGCTTGCGTGCTCCATGCCCTCGCAGGGGGAGCGGCGCGAATGGGCGGAACGGGCCCGATTGGAGGTCCTGGTCAGCACTATACCATCCACCCGCCAATCTTTGAAGAGCGGCGCGCGGTGCTGGCTCAATTTCGCGATAGACATACTCGGACGTGACCAGCATCTCGCGCTGCCGCCCAGCGAGGCGCGACCAATCCGCGCAACCCCTCCTGCGCGGCCCGCAGACTCCTATAATCTGCGGCGTGCGCCCAGGACGATCTGTTGCGCTGGTCGGGCACTTTCTCTTGCGCGGGCACGTTCCGGAATTATTGCGGGCACGCGCAGACAGCGTGCGATGTGCTACACCTGGACACGAGCGCCTTCGGCAACAGACGGCTGCTCCGGCGTCGGCCACCGCGCGCGCGAGGCCGCGCGTCGCGCGCCCAGGAGGCCAAGGCAGCCACTGTGCGGCGCGGCGGACACACGCCACGCGAACCGCGCTTCCTTCGTGACGCTATGATTGCGCAATTACTTGGCCTACATGGTCGCAGCGAAGAAGAAAAGGCGGGGCCGCCGCGCGGCATTCGCCAGTCAATCCAGCGGTCGCGCAGGTGGCATCCACCATGTTTCTAATTACGTACATATTCCTGCTTCGCCTACCATCCGAGCGTTTACCCATCCGCTGGCGCGGCAACATTCTGTCGCGCGGCCGCGCGGCGGGCCGCGCCGTCTGGAAGCGCGCGCGCGCTGGGGCACCCGCGCACGCGCCGAACGCGCTAGGCGGAGTTGGCCACATCGGCAGACGAGGCACTCCTCTGGTTGCCGAGGCGGAAGAACAAGCCGTGCGCGTCGATACTCCGCCGGAGGTGTTGGTGCCGCGCGCGCGCCGCGACGCGCGCCGTGCACGCGCTGCCTCCGTTGCTGCGCGGCACAGCAGTAGGCACTCAGCCGCTCGCGCAGTTCTCAGGGTCGGATGCCCGGCGTATCCTTCGGCCCCTATCGTCCAGGATAGGCGTGGACAGTGCCAACCTATTCGGCACCCACGACATACGAAGGTCGCGACCCGCGACCGCCCGCGCGGCTCGGCGCGCACATCCCTCCGCCCCTCTCGCGCGCACAAGGGGGCACGCCGATGACATCGATCGCGCGGGTGCACCGACCGCAGTAACGAAGGAACGTGGAGGCTGGGCGTCGAACGCCTACCTGGCTTACATCGACCGCGTCCGGGTCGAAATTGAGAGGGTAGCGGCCGCGCGCAACGCCGCGTCCGACTGCTCGGACAGCTCTGACAGCAGCTCAGACACCCAGTGCGGCTGCGACATCCCGGCGCGCGCCCGAGCGCCGCGCTCCGCGTGCGCAACGGGTGAGCGGCGCACGGCGCTGGTCGCATCGTTGCATTGGGTCGTGCTGCGACCAGCACCGAGGCGTCGCGGCGCCCGCGCCCTCTCGGCGCGGCGCAGGCTTCGGCGCACACCCAACGCTGTGGTTGCAGACGCAACCCAGCTACGGGTGAGCGGGGTGCTCAGCGAATTTGCGTGTATGGAACGAGTTCGGCCCCTGGTTCCATCGCACACACTCGCTGGCCCCAGGCGCACGCGGCGGACGCAGGCGCGAGCAGTCGCCGCACCGCCGCTTGGCTCGCGCGCGCCGCGGCGCGCCGCAGGCGATGTGGGCAGGCCCGCGCGCCCCCGCGCGCGGCCGCTGCCCGCCGCGGCCGCGCGCAGGTACCACAGGTTTGTGTGTGTGCCTGGGGCGCGCGCCCCGCGCTCGAGATTTGACCCACCCGTGCCCACCCCGTTTCTCGCCCGTTGCTGGGTCGTGCTGCGACCATTTGTGCTGCGCGCTGAAGGCTCCGGCCCGGCAACAAATCCTGCCCCCCGAACAAAACAGACGCCAACAAGAGAAGTTAGTTGTTACAATAATTGCCTGTCGAGCGGACGGGGAGGAGGAGGAAGGAAAAGGGGGAGGAAGGGGAGGCAAAAGAAACAAGACAAAAGCCAGGAGCAGCGCTCAAGACGAATTGCCTTAGGTGAGCCGTCACGTGCATCCAAGGACTGGGACAACGGGCAAAAGCACAGATATGCAAGCCGCGGATGTCATCGCCCGACTGACTGTTTGGGC